GTGGTTGGTGCCTGTGTCGAGCAGGTTCGAAGTAGACCGTGAGGAGGATGTAGTCTTTGAGAAAGTGGAGACGGTACATGGATAAGAAGAAGAAGAAGAAAAAGAAGAAGAAGAAGAAGAAGAAGAAGAAGAAGAAGAAGAGAGAAGAAGAAGAAGAAAAGAAGAAGAAGAAGAAGAAGAAGAAGAAGAAGAAGAAGAAGAAGAAGAAGAAGAAGAAGAAGAAGAAGAGAAGAAGAAGAAGAAGATGAAGAAGAAGAAGAAGAAGAAGAAGAGAGAGAAGAAGAAGGAAAAAACGACTACCACTTCATCACGTGAGAGGCAAAATCGAGGCTGGTATATATACGGTAGAAATCAGCTTTACAAACTGAGCCCAGTTTAATTCATGCACTTTCGGTCGTTGGATCGGTCTAGCCAAACCCAACTCCTGTAATTGCGCTTACAAATTAGGACTTCATGTGTCCTTGCGTCTCGGCCGTCAGATCCACCGAAATCCCCCGTGAAATAACGGAATCACATTATTTTGCACCCAATAAAACAATTGGTTTTTCCACCCGTTGACTTGCGTGAACTAATTTGGGATATGGGCTTTAAGCGCTGGGCCCCCAGGAGCACACCGAGGATGGAGTTGAAACTTCAAACCTGTTAGTACAATGCTCTTTCATTTTAAAGCCACGGGCTAGAATAGGAATGGGGGGGCGCACTTGAAAATATGGTTTTTTGAAGGTCAGAAAAAAGGATCTGACTTGCGTTGGTACACCTTCCCAGTCTCGAAAACACCATTCCTGCAAAATTGCAGCTCACATTTATTCACCTACGATACTAAACAGATCGTACCCCTTGAAAGGAACACCCTGCGACAAGTCTGAGGGTCGCAGGCTGAACGAAAAAGAAGGGCATGCGATCGCCTGTCACACCCGGATGGGGGAAAGGGTAGTAGGAATGGGAGAACAGGGTGGGCAAATGGGGAAAGGGGTAGTAGGAATGGGGGAACGGAGTGGGGAGGCAGGGAGATAGGGTGTAGGGGTGTGGAAAAAACGGAAGGCATGGATATAGGGGGACGGAACAGGAGAGGGAGGGCTGGGAGATAAGACTAGCTTTGTACCCTCCCACGTTCCTGCGTTTCCTACCCTGGTAAGGAGAGGGGGTATAAGGGGAAAGGAGAGGGGTACAAGGGGAAAGGGGAGGGGTAGAGGGGAAAGGAGGGGGGTACAAGTGGTACGGAGGGGGTACAAGGGGAAGGGGAAGGGGTACAAGGGGAAAGGGGAGGGGTACAAGGGGAGAGGGCGCAGAGTTTTCTGCTATAACAGGAGATTCTGCGGAAGTGCCTGACGCAGATAGAGCTACTCTAGCTCTGCAGTTCCCTAAGGAGAAGTCTGCCTCCAGATTGTGTGTTCCATAGCTCAGCTTGACAAGGCTTGCATTCACACAAAATTCACTAGAATCAAGATTACAAATTATTGTGCACAAGGCAAATGCTAATACTACCTCATTGAACACCGCTAGAACGTTCTCACTAGAACGTTGACATAACTTCTTCCAGCTGCACTTAGCCAAGTCAGCGATGGCAGGTGAAAATCATAGCACATGCTTAGGAATTTTCACCAGCCTCAAAGTAGTTATTTAACAGTTTCAGGTGATGAAACTATCAACTGTTACGCACTTTTCCGCAATTACGAAATGTGCGTCACCTGTGTTCAATTTCTTAAATTTGCAGGTAGATTTGCCTTTTCGGTCTAGATCGGTTCATTTCGAAACATCTGAAGGGGGTGGAAATTTGAACCCTTTCGGAACGGTCCCTTAGCGCCAGAAAGTCAATTCTGTCGAGGAGCCATTCACAGAAGAGAGTTCCGCGAACACTTTCTAAAGTGTTCCCACAGAAGTGAGTGTCGAAATCTTTCTGTAGCACTCCCACAGAAGTGAGTGTCGGAATCTTTCTGCAGCACTCCCACAAAAGAGAGTGTCGAACTCTTTCTGCATCACTCCCACGGAAGAGCCCTCACGCCAGTGCGCCTGAGGTCCATTCTACAGCGCATGTTGAATTTCAACTTCTGCCGCTAAGTCGCATGCAGACGTGCATTCTGCGAGCATTTCTGTAGATGACCGTTCATCTGCGAATGGCCCCTTGGCAGAAGGGTATTTTCCACTCCGTAATCTGCATAGACCACTTCCACAGAATACCGCTTTCGTCGTAGAAGCCACTTGTAGAAATTCGCCTCTTGCAGGAGCTGCGCCATCAACAACAAAGTCACTTCGACAGGACTGCTCTCCGTCGATGAGGGTATTGCGTAGAGCCTCTCCTTGTCGACAAATCTGCCCTTCGTCGATAGGCCTTTCTGCAGGGATTGCATCCATAGACTTTGTTGATATGCCACTTCTGTAGACTTCTGCAGCCTTCGCAGGATCAGGGCTATTCTCAATACTCCTCTGCACTGGTCATGCAAAATCACCGATCTGCTCAGAACCCGATCCAGAGGAGACACTAAAACTAAAAGAAAGCACACAAAATAAACACATAGAAAGTTGCGGGAATCTGCACTTCTTCGCACGCTTAAATTACCGCACTAGCCATGAAAGAGGTCATGGCACCTATTCTTCCTCAGACAAGACTTCGTCTGCGCTCCCCTTCGCAGACAATCGCACTTGACCCACTTTGCCAAAGCATCGATCAAACGCAGGAAAATGCAATACCTGTACTGCAATTTCAGCTTCCGACGCTCGACCATGTTCTGCAAAAACATGTATCGTCGCTCCATATGCTTAAGGCTCCCATTCAGCCCCATCCCTTCAGTCACTACAATGGCTTACTGATTGTTGACGTAGAGCGTCGTGGGCTCGTCCTCCTTGAGGAGCCCAAACTCTGCCAGCAAGAAGCGCAGCTTCCGAGCTTCGTTGCCAGCCTCCACAGCAGAGATGTACTCGGATTCCATAGACGAGAGGGTGACGCACTTGATCTTCTTGCTTGCCCACGAAATTGCTGCTCCGCCGAGGGTGAAAATGCAGCCACTCGTGCTGCTGTGACTCTGCCTGTGGCCAGCATCATCGGCATCTGCGAAACTGACGAGGCGCAAATCTGTGGCTCCTCCGCCGAGCTCGAGAGCCACATCGCGAGTCCTAACGAGATACGCAATGCACCGATCGAGCTCTTTCCTAGGCTGATCACTTCGAATAGTCTGCCCAGACGCGAGCTTGCTGCAGGCGAAAGCGATGTCCGGACGTGTCGTGCAGGCGGCGAACTGCAAAGATCCCACTCCCGGGCGATACTCTTCTTCTGTGTGTGCCTGCAACTCTATATCGTCGAACGTCATCTCGAACGCATCGACAGAAATCGGCGTTTTCGGGATTTGTCAAGGAGGCCCCTCTGGCAGAAAACGCCTCTGCAGCTTGTCGATGTACACTCTTTGGTGCAGCCAGATCTTCTGAGTAGCTCTGTCCCGGATCAGCTCCAAGCCCAAGTACTTCTGCACAAGACTGATCTTTGGAAGCTTGAACGCCTTCTTGAGCAGAGTCTTCAACTCTGCCAAATGCGCCTTGCTCCGACTTGCAGCCAGCAGATCGTCGATATAGATAAGCAAGTAGCACTTGTCACCATGCCCATCTTCGTGGAAGTAGAAGGCTTCGTCGACCTGACTCTTCGACTAGCCTCCGCTCTGCAGAACTCCGTCGAGTTCTTTGTACCACGGCTTTGGACCCAGCTTGAGTCCGTAGAGACTCTTCTTGAGAAGACAAACTCTGCCACTACCGTCATCGTAGTACTTCAGCTGCTTCATGTAGAGAGGACGATCAATGGTGCATTGAGAAATGCGTTCGTCATGTCGAGCTGCATCAACTCCCAGTCAAATGCCGCAACAATGAGTAGCTGTAGAAAAGCAGTGACATAGCTGCCAACTGGAGCATACGTCAAGTCGTAGTCGAGATTAGGCAGCTGCAGTTCTAGAACTATGTCAGGGCTGCCATGGATTCTGCCTAGACGTTTTCTAAGCCCAATGTCCAGCAATTTTACATCAGGTGGAGCTTTAACTTATACAGTTGGAATCTACACAGGGAGCGCTACACGGTGACCCTGCTTTAATGTCCACATTCAGGACATTTGGTCAATGTCATCATGCTCGGGATCTCCATCATGCAGGACTATACGGGCTATGAAACTTAACCAGCTTCCAGGTTTCTCTTATCAACAATGGCAGCAAACAACAACAGCACGTGATTGGAGTAGTGTGTTGTCCTTGGATCAGGCAAGCTGGCCTCACCAACCAGGCGGCGTCAGCATTCCAACTGCAAGTTATATCAAGGCAGGATGGTTCAGTGACATTGCATGGAGGGCTTGGAAGTTTAAGGACAAAGGACTACAAATTGGTGGTTTGGTGCTCAGTACTCCCATTACATCTGCCATTATCCAGCAGTTTTTGGGATCTCATCATCGCACTATGCAGAAGGCTGCGATGGTGGTCACGCGTGCGTCAGCAAGGACATCATTGACTGTGGATCAGACGGATCCTGAGCAGCACTCCGCACCGGTTTCCCCGCATGGCCATGCGGGGTTAGGACCAGCCTCGGGCGTTCCCATGCAGCCGTCCCCGGTTTCCACTGCTGCTCCGGTGAACCTGGCAGGGGGTGTGGAGGAGGTACCGGATGCTGAGATACCAGCGACGAATGCTCCATAATCTGGCTGCATTCCTGAAGAACTTCAAAGCGTAGCGGCTCGTGGTTGGTCTTCGTTGTGCTCGCACCTGCAACAGAGGAAGCTTTTATATTTCAGATCAACAGCGGTATCTTGTGTGTATCTCATTTGGTATTTCACTCGCACAGTTCCAACACCTTTCATGACCCGTGGATGCTTTGGGGTCTTCTCCCAGTTGGTTAATGGATAGATGCAACACTCTCACCTTCTATGAGCTCAATGTTAACAGGCTCAGTAGCAACGGCAAGCAAAACAAGCACAAGCAGTGGATACAGAAGCTGGCAGACGTAGTGGTGCTAGCGGATACAAGGATCTCTGAATATCACAATTCCTGGACAGAGCTAGGTCCACATTCCTTGGCGGCAGTCATGCTGGTCTCAAAGGTCGGGGGTGTGGCGGTCCTCATTTTCAATCAGGCAGTTACAATAACGGATGTGGTTAAGCATGGATCTGGTAGGCTGCTTCAAGTAAAGCTTACTTGGAAGGGATTGGCAGTCATCCTGGTAGCGACCTACTTCCCTGCTCAGGCGTGCGGTCGGGGGTCTTTCATCAGAGATGTGCTGGAGCCGGTGGTTCGCCAGATCTCGGTGTCGGATCACCTCCTCCTGATGGGGGAATTGAACCTGGTGAAAGACCCGTTCCTGGACAGGTCGTCCAAGTTC